AACTGTTTAGATTAGCGGTTAACATGTAAAATGACCAAAAGGGTATAATAATAATAATCTTGACTATAATAATAATAATAATAATAATAATAATAATAATAATAATAATAATAATAATAATAATAATAATAATAATAATACTCTTACATATAATAAAGCTATATGATAGGGAAATAATTAATGTTACAATTAATTAACAACATTATTATTATTACTAGCTATAAATATAAAATAGCCACAACATCTTTTACTATAAAAAATAAAAAAAAAATTAAAAATTAAAAAATTAAAAAATAAAATAAAAAGAAGCACAACATTTGAAAAATAAAATAGCTATTTTTTTTTCTCGCCCATAACAAAGGATTACATTTATTGAATTAATGGAGTTATTAAATGTTATGATATTAGGTTTAAGGATTCCGATTCCCGATTAATATAAAATATGAAAGGATGCAATATTAGTTAAATCTCTGACTTTACAATAAAAGTCTATTTGATATGCTTTTATTATTTATGGTGGTTCTTGGGATTACAATATTAATTAAATTTTCGATGAAAGCCTATTCAATATCTGAAACAGTGCAATTAATGCAAGCTTCTACATATAATTTTTCTCCATCTCAAATGCTTCAAAGAAATTCAAAAGCGAGAAGGGATGAAGAAAACAAATGTTGCGGACTGTGGGTCAATTATTAGACTTCAGAATTAAAAAAAAAAAATCATTTAAGCCATAAATGAAAATTTAAATATATATAAATGTATATATCGTATGGGTCTTTAATGTTTTTCTGGATGTCTAAACTTAGGACTTTTAAAAGAAAAAAAAATACATTTGAATTATCTCCACAAAAAGTGGTCTTGGACTTATAAAATGACATTTGAGTTTATGGAATGCCATGTGCATAAATAATATATTATATAATCATATAAAAAAATGTGTTCAATTAGAATTTAAATTTACTCATACAAAATTTTAAATTTACTTTCTAAATGTAATTATCTTAGTTATTATTCATATTGAGAAACTTATAATATAGATGAAATACAATTAAGAATAAATCAATGTAATTATGAAAATTCTCTCTATAAGTTTATTTGAATAATTTGAATATGTACATAATTAGAGATTATATTAACCATACAAAATTTTAATTATAATTTTGTATTCTATAAAAATAATAAATACTTGACCAATAGAAGCTCAAAAATATTATTATATTAAACAATTTAAAATATTTTTATTTTTCTATTTTTTTATTTATATTTATAATAACATAATTTTTTCCCCGTGCATCGCGCGGGTGAATTACTAGTAGTAATAATATTAATAATAATAATAATAATAATAATGATAATAATAATAAGAAAAAAGAAACAAAAATGATGTGAGATACATATCCCACATCGAATGTTAATGGAAAAAATGACGTTGAGCTCCCTTATAAAAGGGAGCTCAACGCCCCTAAAATTCTATTGCCCATCCCACAGCGGATGGGAAAGAGAATTGAAGCCTGAGACTTCTTACGACAGAGTATCAACTTTAATTTTTATTTATTTTTTAAATTTTAAATGGAGGGTGTTTTGGAGAAGTAAAATTCTTCCCTAAAATGCTAACCCCAGACGCTGCTCTTAGAAGCGTTTGAGATTTCAGCGGTTTGGAGCAAACTGCTGACTAACCAAACATAGTTTTTAGTGTTTTAATTGAGGTTAAAATGCCAAAATAATGGATCTGTCAAAATTTTAACCGATCCGCCATTAACCAAATAAGGCCTAAGTATTCTAGTTTCACTAAAATTTATTTCAATTATTAAATAGTTGATTCTGATACTAATTTCAATACTCCAATTAAACCCATATTCTGTAGAGAGAATTAAAAATATATTCTGTAGAGAGAATTAAAAATAATGGCATATTACGTAAATGAGTTTATCCAATTCCGTTTATCCAATATATATTACGTAAATCAGACTAAGTTTTGGCTATACTACTGTCGTATCTCGTCGTATGGCATTAAGAAAGGATAGTGAAAGAATAATGATTTTATTAAGACCTTGACTAGAATCTTAGTATCAACTTGATACATTATTGTTGAGGAAGTTAAAGTCTTTGCATATATTCATTTCATTGCCTTTTTTTTTTATCCATTACGTCATACCCAAACCCATCTATTGATATTACTGCTCTTTCTTATGATCAAAATGACTTGATAAATGACATGTTTGCCATTAAGACACTCTCTTTACTATCTAGATATAGTAATTATTATACTCATCAATGAAGCGTTTTCTACTATATATTCTAGTAATGTTCTTAGTCATTCACTCCATGTTAGATGATAAGACTTTTGGAATTAGGTTCCGTAGGCTTGCTAATATTTGAAACTGCAATGTCATTTATATCTAATTAAAGTGTTTAGACAAAGGTTGTAACAATTTATTTGAAAAAGTCCAAGATCACTATATGTTATAATAATAATATTATTGTTATTCCTAAATTTTGCATCTGTGACTAATTGAGCTGTCCATGCGAGCTTATAATAATATTATTAAACCAAGTGGTTGTTAGTGACTTTAGTGGGATTAGTGGTTAGCTACTTTAGTGGGAGGAATGGTTTAGTGATTAGTTATTTAACAAAGTTAGCTAGAAACGTTACTATTATAAATATATAGTATGTTGGTTTATCTTGTAGGCTCTGTTTGGCAGAACTTATTTAAGAACGTATAGTTTATTTTAAATTACTAATAAATTATAAGTTTTGTTTGGTAATATTTTCAAAATAAGTTAGTATTTTTTAATTTTTTTTTTCATTTTTATCCTTATTTTTTTAGATAAATGACTTCTTTTATTTTTCCCAATTAAAACTTTTTTTGTCCTTTTCTCTTGTGCTATATTATTATTATTATTATTATTATTATTATTATTATTATTATTATATTATTATTATTATTTAGGATTGTATTCGATGTATTGATGGTACTCATATGGCGGTGTGCATCATTGAAGTTGATCAATTATGATATAGAGGGAGAAAATGAACTAAGGAATTTCTACTTTCAATGTTATGGCAACGTGTGACTTTGATATGTGTTTCACTTTTATACGTAAATAAACCTATTTAACTTTAGAACTGTTTAAATTTTATGAAAATGTCCTTTATAGTCTTTTTACCTTTATTAGCTTACCATAAAACTAATTTTACCAAATACTTTTAACATAATGAACTAACTTAACAACTCTTCATTTTCAGCTTTCAACTCTCTTTTAAGCTAGATTTGCCAAACATAGCGGTAAAATCTTAAATCTTCATTCAATTAGAGAATTTCTTATTTAATTGTTCATCTGTTCTTCCTTTTATATTTTTTTGTATTTCTTTCAAGTATATACATATAAGTTATTTTAATATATCTTACATTATCTCATCATTTTAAATTTATTTTTAATGAGATTGAGATTAAACTAAACTTGTGTACTTTTATAGAATATAATAAATATAGTTATAAGATTACAAGATCTTTCATACCCTTAACTAATTGATTGTTCTTCTATATATCAAACACTTATAGTACATATGTGGTCGAATTTCCATCCCCTCAAAAATAACGGGGCCGGCAGGATGTTTAGAAGTGGCAGCTAGTCGTCTTCAATAATGTGTATATATATAATATATATTATTAATATAATTATTATAATTAATATGCAAGACTAAACCTCTTACGAACGGAAGAGATGTAATCTTCAGCTTTGAGATCAACGGCGGCATCATCGACGGCACCGCTGTAGAGGGTGGTGGCGCTGTAAGAGCTGACACCGGCAGTAGCAGCGATCTCCGGTGAGGGAAGATAGAGAGAAACAGATGGGGCCATGTGGTTGGAAAGTTGAGGATGAGTAACTTGCTCCTCATTCACAATCAACTTCCCAACAGATGGGGTTGAAGAAGTATTACGGTTCAGCACCGCCGTGTAGCTACCTTGATTGACGGTGGCGCTGCTGGAGGTTCTGTACAGAGACCTCAGCTTTGCCTTCATAAATCCTCCTCTTTCCCTGCGGTTTGAGCCCATGGAATCAGATTATTGGGTAATGTTTGTACGTAATGCTATATATGTGGTTTGCTTTGGGTTCTTGATCGGAATGATGAGTTTCAGGTGGGAGGGTACGTGTTTATATAGTGATGATATTTTGGGGGAATTTAGAATAATTGTGGGCGTGGACGGTCATGATTGATTTTAGTTAGGATAGACACGTAGAAATTGAAGATTCTTGATCTGATATATATATATATATATATATATATATATATATATATATATATATATATATATTCTGATGTGGTCTGTGATTTTAGGAAGACTCGCTTTAATTAATTTATCTATAGAGTAAAATATCAGATAGCTTCCAGCGCCATAGCAAGAAATTTCCGGCTTATATTAACTAGTCAGGAGGAATATAATTGAAGTCATTAAGAGCCAGACTTGATAAATATGGTAATTACAAGGTTTAAAAGTTGTATGTTAATTAGTCATTTTAATTAATAAATCGATTAATTAGTAATTTAGGTAAATTAGGCTGTATCTTTTACTTTTACATGTAATAGATGTAAGATTTTTTTTTTTTTTTTTTTTTTTTTTTTAACTATGCTAGAGGCTTGACTATCTTGACATCCCTTTTGCGACAATGCCAACAACATCAATTAAGTTGGAGGAGGTCCATTATCATTCTAATATCCGGGTCCCCCAATTAGGGCTGTACAACGGACGGATCGGTTCGGTTCGAATGGGAGAATACTTAATCCGCACGGTTTTCGGATTGGAGAAACTAAAACCGATCTTGGCTAAAAAAATTATAAATCCTTTCGGTTTTTGTTAATTCGGTTTCGGACGGTTTTGTCGGATAACCGAGTTATGATCGGGTTTAGCAACATCAAAATAAGTTTCAGAAAACTATGAAAATTTGAAGTAAACATAATTAAAAACTAAATCTTGAACTAGTAATTAGTAAAGCACTAAATTCTAAAACAGTAAAACTAGTGGCAAATTAATCAAAAGGCCAAAACGACATTGCTAGGCGACAAAACAAATTTAATGATTTACACTTTACAGCTTTCAAAATTACAGATCCAAATCAATTCATCAAAAAGCCATCCTGAATTCCTGATCAGATATCAAAATATCATCAAATAGCCATCCTGAATTCCTGATCAATGTCATCAAAAAGCCATCTTGATCCTACTTTAAAACCTGAGTTCTAATCTTCTTCCTGTTTAAACTTAGTGCAAATTAGTAAAGTAATAAACAACAATAATAATTACATAAGAAATGATAATATGAGAATGAGATATTGATGAGATTATAAATTTGGCTCAGTAAGCTTTTTTTCCATATCAATGTCTAGATTAAGGGCAAATTGCTACAAATGTCACCATGATCATTGAGCAACATACCAACTTAATCCTTATTTCAGATCATAGGTGGAAGCTTCATCATTTCCATAATATAATTAGAGAAATTAAATATGCCAAAACTCAAAGATAACAGTAATGCAAAACTGGTTAAACTGCAAAAGACAGCAACTTTACTAACTTACAAGCAAGTAAGTTGTAAGCTACCAAGCCTCTACAGTCTAAAGTGTAAACAGAACATTAACAGTTACCAGTTCACCACTTAACAAGATTTCAGCGCAGTCTTGCGATTAGGGGCCAAAAACTCATCAAGGGCAGCAACTTAGAAGTTTGAAGTTACCAAGCCTCATTGCCTCAACATCAGACTATCACAGTCGGTTACTCAGCTTAATATAAGATATTAAGAATAACTAATATCATATAAAATATAGAGAGAGTAGAGAAGACAATTACAAGAATTGTTGGAAGTGTAGAACCAACAGTCTTCCCACCAGATTTACTTCCACCATCAACAGTTAAACCTGCAATAAATCAAATAATTAGAAGAATGTGAGAATTTAGTTAATTGAAAAAACTTATATTGAAACAATGAATTAATAAAGTATAGAATATAGAGAATCATTTACCTTTCTCAAATCTTTCTAATTCTTCTAGATTTTCCTCAACTGATATAGGGGTATTTGGCAGCCTAAGCCAATCTTGGGTACAAACCAAGGCTTCCACAATTTTAGGAGTTAAAGAACTCCTAAAAGGATCTAAAACCCTCCCAGATGTACTGAAGGCAGACTCTGAGGCAACAGTTGAGATTGGTATAGCTAAGACATCCCTAGCAAGCTTAGAAAGGATAGGAAATCTACCAGAGTTAACCTTCCACCACCTCAGTATATCAAATGAATTTTCCTCTTCAACTACTGCCTCACTCAAATAATATTCCAACTCAGTTTTTTCCTCCCACCACTTTCCATTCTTTGTTTCTTAATTTGAGACTTCAACAGATGCTGTGGCCTCCCAACTAGGACAGGTGCATACTGAACAACCTCAATAGAAAGACTAACAGAAGTTACAGAACCAGAACCAGAAGTTGGGACAACAACAGGACTATAACTAACAGCATAATCATCAAACAATTCATTCAAAGCAGCCAACAATTTCTCAAGGAAATCCTTTCCTTTTATGACACCATACATGTGATTTAATTGAGTTGGCATATATTCTAACTTGTCCCTGGGGTCTAAAATGTTTTCAAAGAAAATCATACAATTCATTTTGTTTATATCACCCCAATATTTTTCAAATTTTGCTTTCATGTTAGTCCCCATTCGTTTGACAGCACCATCAGTTTCCACCATTCCATTCAAGATACAATACAGATCAGATATTTCAGAGAAAAAGGTGTTAGATGTCACATATAAAGAGCCTGAAATCCTGATAGTCATCTCATAGAAGCATTTCAACAATTTGACCAAGCTTTTCACAGACTCCCAATCCAGAAAGTCAGGAATACAAGAACCCAAATCTGATTTAAAAGAATTATCACTCTCTTCATAAGCCTCAAACACTTTCTGGTATAATAGAGCAGACTGTAACATCATATAGGTGGAATTCCACCTTGTTGGCACATCAAGACACAAAGAGGATTTTTGCTCAATCCCAATTAAGGCTGACAAATCCCTAAATTTCTTCAACCTAGCAGGTGAATTTCTGACATACCTAACAACCTCCCTAACCTTCTTCACAGCACTATCACATTCTTTCAGCCCATCTTGCACAACCAAGTTCAGAATATGGGCAATGCATCTCATGTGAAGATACTTACACTTCACATTAGATGATCCCCAAGACAACACTTTCCTTTTAAAAAAAACCAATAGCAGTATCATTTGATGAAGCATTATCTACTGTCACAGTAAATACATTCCTAAGCCCCCACTCTAGCAAACAAGTTTCAAGTGCTTTTGCAATGTACTCACCCTTGTGTGAAGTAACAGGGACAAAAGAGATAATTTTCTTGTGAAGCTTCCACTCTTCATCTATATAATGTGCAGTGACTACCATGTAGTTAATTCTTTGTATAGATGTCCAAGAGTCAGTTGTAACACTGACTCTTTGAGTGTGTCCCCTAAACAAGCACTTTAACTTAAGTTTCTCTTCTTCATATATGACATGAATGTCTCTACTGATTGTCTACCTAGATGGAATTTTAAACATAGGACAAGCCACTGCAATGAACCTCTTAAACCCTTGCCCCTCAACAAATATAAAGGGAAGTTCATCAATTATAATCATTTCTACCAAGGCTTTCCTAATGATTTCCTGATTAAATACCCATGTCCCTAACTCTCCCACATACAGGTGGTTCAGATGCATCAGTGCTAGCAACAGCTTGAAATGTTAGAAGGGACTGCCTAGTCTCTTTAGAGTGAGGATTTTTCATACAGCTAAACATGTGATTCCTTAAGGATGAAGTACCATGTTTTTTTGATTCACAATGATATACCTTTGCACAATATATACACTTTCCTTGTACAGTGACATCATTACAATCTTTAATCTGTTGAAAATGATCCTAAACTGGTGATCTGAGTTCAACCTGTTTCCTTTTCTTCTCAGGAACACCAGCAGTACGCAGCACATTCTGTTGAGTTTTTTGTCAACAGTTTGAGCTTTTACCACTACTGCTCCTTGAGCTGTAGGATTTGTAGGTTGTTCACAGCCAGAACTAGGCATACTGATATTATCCATCTAAAAATGGAGCATTATCAGTACACATAGTAAGAGATGGGAAACAGTTTACAGAATCTCAGACAGTCACAAGTCACAACTCACATATTAACATTTAAGTATTTAACAGTGTAACACTAAGCAATTTGCAGTGCAACACAATTCCATCAGGCATTCGTATGGACAAGTGGACAACAAAGGTCTCTGAATCACTGAATGCTCATCATATGGACAACACATAGCATGTATTCAGGCATTCAGCTTCCACAAAAACATTTAACCTTTAAGTATTTAAGGGGCCTCAATCCATAAACAAGAAAGACAACAGAGATCATCATTTAGTGCTTCCATCAAAATAATTTTCAGAATTTAACATACACACATAGTCACATTGTATACAAGTATTAAGAATACAACTATACAAGTAAATAAATTCAATTTTCAGTAAATCACAACTCAGAGACTCATTGACTCAGAAATCATAATCTCATAATATATCACATATTCACATTATAATGAGTAAATAAAAATTAAAATAACTAAGGTTAGTGATTTACTGCTTTTCTCACACAATTTCCCTGGAGAACAAGGGCCTTCAAGTCACCACCAGTTTGATACCACCGTCCTGTGACTCCAGTCCGTCCAGGCGTCCACCAATGACTCAATGAGTCAGTCAACAACTCAATGAGGGCTTCAGATAAAGGGCTTCCACCACATACTCACACAAAGAGTCAAGAGTCAAGAGTGAAGAGATGAAGAGATGAAGAGAATTAGAGAAACTGAGAAAGGGCTTCCACCAGAGAGAACTCAATAGAGAATCAGATAAAGGGCTTCCACAGTTCCATGGTTCCACCAGACCATTTATCGGACTATCGGAGTCTCAGAGATTGAGAGAAAACGAGAGAACTCATAACTGAGAAGTGAGATCTGAGAAACCCTAGACTCTAGAGAGTGAGAGAGTGAAGAGTGAAGAGGAAGACTGCGCAGTCTCGGATGTAATGAGAAAGTGAGAAACCCTAAGGCAGAAGCATGGATTATATACACAATCTACACGACGCCGTATTATACTAAGCATTTCTAGCCCTAGCTCTTTGTTCGAATGATCGGGCGGTTCGGGTAGAGAATTTATACACCCTACCCGAATCAATATAACCGCTAATATTAATGGCAGCGGGTCGGTTATGGCTATTCGGATGGCGGCCCAGATCGGAAGCAATGAAACGGGCAAATGGGTCGGGCCGACACGTTGGGTTGGTCGGTTATGCACACCCCTACCCCCAATCGCCAACATGCCCCATATTGGCCAAGTGATCATCCCTTCATGTAGAACATATATGGGATGCCTTTGCAAAGCACTCACAATTTAGCAGATTATTACAATCTATGAGGAGGGTTCTTGTGCTATGATTAGTACCTAGATTGTTGAGTAGTTATGCTGTGCATCTGTATGCACCATGCATGGTGCATACGGATGCAAAAACGACGTCGTTTTATTAAAAACGCGCGTCTCCCCTTAAAAAAAAAAATTCAGGTTCAATTCCCAACAACAACATTACGTTGTTCATTCATTCTGGAATTTTAGTTCATAGATTATGGAATTTTAGTTCATTTTTATAGTTCATCGATTATGGAATTGTAGTTCATAGATTCTAAAATTTTAGTTCATAGATTCTGGAATTTTAGTTCATTCATTCTGGAATTTTTAGTTCATAGATTAGATTCTGGAATTTTAGTTCATAGATTCTGGAATTATAGTCCAACGATTATGGAATTATAGTTCATCGATTCTGAAATTTTAGTTCATATGTTGTTGCTGGGAATCGAACCTGAATTTTTTTTTAAGGGGAGACGCGCGTTTTTAATAAAACGACATCGTTTTTGCATCCGTATGCACCATGCATGGTGCATACGGATGCACAGCATAATTTGCCTAGATTGTTGTTGAGGGCCTTAACCATCGCTTCCGATCAAGTTTAGTCCCACCATCAATTGCAAAGCCCTTTTCCCTTGACCAACTTGAGTCATTCTCTTTGTTAATTGGTTTTAGGACTAATAGGTAGTTGACGCCTAGTCAACACAACCTTTAACAAACGATATAAAAGCACAAAAGCTTAAGTAATAGAATGAATACAAGAAACTTTGAACAATAGTAATTGCACAAATAGTAATAGGCCGACTACTAGTTTCACCTAAAACATCTAGTCCCCCATTGTCTTATGGTTCGCAAATTTGATTATGCAAGAAAGTAGCTGAGAAAATTCCTTCCGACCACTCATTCACTAAATATGAAAAGTTTTGTGTCACGTCCTCCACCATTGAGTCTGACTAGGTACTCCTTCATTCTTTTGAATTGCAGGCTCTACCACTTGGTCCATCATTGGGGCTTCGCGATCAGCTCGCGACTTTTATTCGACTAGTTAACCCAATATTCGACCACTTAATCTTTTCTATTCAATCGTCAACCGTTTCTAAGCCATAAGTGCGCCATAATTAGCAGTGTGGTAAATGGAGTACCGCGTAGGTTAAGTGTAACACCCCTGAATTTTAAAACTTTTAAAGCTTATGAAATAAAGGTAATTCTATTATCAAATCCCAAACAGAGCATAAACTAAACATAATTGTCGGGGTGTTATGCCACATCTGAGCTGGAGAACTCAGATGTACAGGCTAAACTATCCAAACATAAGAAATCCTCAAATCAATATCTAGTATAACTTCAAGGCACGCAGGCCGATAAAAGAACTAACTAGCTAGGTCCACGGGTCCGACTAGCGCGCTCCGGAGCTATTCATCTGTGCTTGAAACCCAAATATGTCTGTTCAGCGAATAATGCTGGTAACCCACTCCAACGCGTTAAGTACAATATAGGTAGATATAAGGAAAATCATTTGGAAGCCAGAATACATATATACTTATGAAACGCTAATTTAAAACCGATGATAGACTCAATCAAGCAATGACACACACATTCGATTTAATTAATCACACACATAAAGATTCTAGCACGCATCCTTAGGTCACAAGACTATCCAACATCAATCATATCAAAATCCAATTACTATTTCAGTTGAAATCATCAATAAGACATGTATGCACATATGGTGGTGCCGCAAAACCCTTCAGGTACCCATACACGAAGGTCAGTGCATATAGCTCTGACATGGCCACGCATCACTTTACTTGCACCGCAGCACAAGGAGATTGATTGCAACCAATCAATGAACCACATCTCATTTATATCATACCGTTTAATCGCAACCAAACGGTGAACCGCAACCCTATTATCATGTATATCTGATCGCAACCAGATTATGGACAGCAGCTATATATATATATATATATATATATATATATATATATAAAACCGCCGACGGTTCTCAACCATCCAACTGCCTGTATAGCCGACCGATCGCAATCGGTCGGGTTAATACCTGATAGTTCTCAACCCATCAGATAGTCATTATAGCCAATTGATCGCAACCAACTGGGGGTATCATGCACAATTAACATAGAAGCCAAGCAACATGCAACCCACATTAACACATAACGAGGGGGGGATCTTCGGGGAACACTTATCCTAATATAACTCATATGTAACACACCACACTAAACCACTCATGACACGCCTAAGGGATCATACACCTTCCTCCGAGGCCAACGGGATACCAATTCAACTAGCATGCAGTACACAAGACTCTTTTATCCTAAGAACGGTACCCGATACATCAAACTAGACTCACACATGACAAACGGGGTATAACGGGACACATGGAAACATCAAACAGGAAAAAACACCACGGTTTGCACCAACATTCCAGCGGGTGCCCGGCGGGCAGTGCCCGCGGGCTGCCCGCTAGGAAGAGGGCACGGGGCAGCGGGTAGGTGGCGGGCACCCCTGCCCCCATCTAGCCCCACTGACTCCTATGTAATATTTTGGTCCCGGGATCCATCGTGGAACCCCAATCAGGTCCCTTTTCTAATTATCATTTTTGGTAAACAATTAGACAACTAGTCCTGGTTAGAGGCTGTAACACGGGGTGTTACACCCTCCCCCCTTACAATAGGCTTCGTCCCCAAAGCCTCTGCGTGGATCTATTCTATCACCCCTGGACGTCACACATTCGGCCTCCTGGTTTAGGAAATGCGGCTCCACGTGTCATTTGCTTGGGGTAGAGTGGAGTTTGGTTAGGTCGGTAGAAATTAGTGTTTGGGAAGTTTGGGTCTACCTTAGTTTCCTGCTCTAGAGCTTGAGGCCCCGCGCGTGCCCAACATGGCCTCGATTGCAGGCACTCTCCGGTCCAATGAGTTTGTTGCGAGAATCAGGGACGAGAACC